TATACCTAAAAATGTAATAGTTAATATTTCGAAACAAATCTCCTCTCTGTTTATGTCCTCTGTAGTGTGTACACATAGCTATGTATGAGACAGGCGGTGCAAAATGTTCCAATTTTTTGACCCACCCTGTGTTCATAAATCACCTCAGATGCTAAATCAGATAATTATTTGCATCATCCATTTGTACCATAATAAAGTTGTTCAGTGAACATAAAAGTATGAGGTTCTCCAGGAGAAAAAATGTATTGATGGGTTCGATTGTAAGCTTATTTAGTTTGTATCTAATTTGCAATGTATGGGATGACTCTTGGATTTTTCTGACAAGAAACACGAGTATAAATGAAAATGAATTGAAGGCAGTGCGGATGTATGGTGACATGTTAAAGTCTAAATTACAAGGATTAAACTGTTCAGGAATTCAACATGGTAATAAAACTGCAATTGATGAAGCTGAAAAAATAGTGAAAACTGCAATGCTGAACTCAAAACTATAGAAGAAAGCAAATTGGACGGGATGGTACTTAATATGACGAAAAATTGCAAAGCCTTTAAGAAGGCTCTATATTCAAACAAAAAAATACATGATGATGAGACCAAATTCCCTATTGCATATGCGGTCAAGATTCATCGATCAATTCTCCAATTCGAAAGGCTTCTCCGTCAGATTTACACCCCTCAAAATGTATATTGCATATATATCGATCTGAAGTCACCGGAGAGTTTCCATAATGCAGCAAAAAGTATTGTAGAATGTTTTGACAACGTCTTTATTGCGACACATCTTGAACGTGTCGTCTATACAAGTATGGGTCTCCTAAGGTCTGATTTACAATGTATGAAGGACCTCGACAGCTCAAACATAAAGTGGACCTATTATATCAACATTGCTGGGCAGGAGTTTCCCCTAAAGACAAATCGGGAGATTGTACACATCTTGAGACGTCTTAACGGAAAGAATAGTTTGGAGACGTACCCACACACTAACCCAGAGCGCGTTGAAGTAAAATACACATTAAATGGTGATGGTAATGGACTAGTTAGAACAAATAAGAAAAAGAAGCCGTTTCATTTGGGATGGAAAATATATAAAGGCAGCGCATATGGAATTTTTACTCGATCATTCGTGAATTATATTCTGAAAGACCAGGATGCAGCTGAATTCATTGATTGGTTAAATGATACATACGCCCCTGAGGAGGCGATTTGGGCAACACTGATACGTCAAAATAGTACCCCGGGCAAGTTGAGCACAAACATTAGGCATGATCAGAATCAGCAACTATCACGGGCAATTATCTGGGAATGGGACCCGCAAAAATGCCATGGATATTTTTTGAGGGGTGTCTGTGTGTACGGGATACGTGATTTCACGTGGCTTACAAGTCAACCGAACATTATTGCAAATAAAATAGATGTTTTCAGCGATAATGCCATTTTGGAATGTTTGGATGAATGGCTTAACCTTAAGAATGAAGAATCAAATCCTATACACACCATAGATTGGTATTATTTAAATAATCTTCCTCAAATCGCGGAAAAACTTTAAATGCCAGGTGAAAAATACACAACAGTCGCTAAAAAATGAGGCTAACTACCTTTTCAAAGGGCCCTTAAAGATGAGCACTGATTTTGAAATTCGCGGCCCATTTTCTAAAGAATAAGATCCAAATTGAATATGATGTCAAGAAATATCACCTTTAAATGTGTTTCCAGTTGTTTATTGTCATTATCCATCTTCAATGACAGTACGTACTGTCGACTGGTATGGGCCCAGGATATAAAGACTTGACTTAAAAGCTGCATATCTTCATGTCATTGTTCATAGGGATAGATACGAAATGCTCAATATCTCAGAACTCAAGTTGATGATTCAATAGATAACTACTACATGTATAGCCTAGTTAGGAATTCCAACTTGTAGTGAAATAAATGTAATTTAGAATTTACAATCGCAACATTTTTATTATAATATACAGTTATGCATCATTTGATATACCTTGGATGATATGTTTACTATTGTTATATACTTTGTATGCTCGCGGGGGAATTTATGCTTCAGTATCATTGTTTATTAGTTTTATTAGTTATTAAATAAGTGATAGATTGCTAGTAATAAATGGCAAATGTTTCAAATTGAATACGACAGCAATTATCATGTCACTTTATCCTAGTATTCTAGCTCTGGTATTACTTAAAGGACCAATGTAAAGTTTGAAAATGTAGTATTATAATCATTCAAGTTTTACCTTTCATGACTTTAATGACAACTTTCACAATCTAAGATCTTATGCATACAATACATGAACATAAACTTCTCACATGAACATGAATCTTTTGAAATGTGTGATGTCACGAAAAAACGGTGCAATGTCACTCGGGTGGCAAAATATTTTTTAAATTGTAAGTTTTTTCTTTTACAAATATTTTACAGATATGCCAAACTTTAAAAATAAAGCAATAGTAGAGAGGTTTTGGTATACGTTTTCAGCCGAACTTATACTGCAACTTTAACTTTTAAGTGACGGAAAGCCCACTGGAGAGGAACATTTATCGAAGAAAGAAGGAAAGTACTTTCCCTCGTTTCCTAATCGAGGGAATTGATTGGTGAATATCCCAGCAATTACAGTTTAAGTTCAATTTAATCAATTTAAGTTCTAATCATATTTTGAAACCGGAACTACATACTTGCCAAATATTGGAAGGATAATAGGAACCTATCATCGTTTCCAGTTCCTCCCCAGTGCTTTATCATGACTTGTCCGCGTCTCGTTATAGAGGGTGCTACATAACGTGGGCTATTAGTAAAAATCTCCGAATGTAATATAATTCAAATACATATACCATTTGTAACTACTTAAACTGTATTTATTGTCACATGTGTCAAATGCCTTGTCTAAAATAAAATACTGGGTTCCTACATGATATGTACATTAATATTATAGGTCTGTTTTATCTCAAATTAAACTTGGAGATTGACATTATGAAACACCCTGAACAAATACTGGAAAGAGAGTTTGTTATGCAGCCAATGCAAATGGCTTGCTCCATACATCGCTAACACAGATTAGATTGATTAGTTTATCAAAATGGTAGTCAATTGTGTTTGATCGAATATTTTACATATTCAGCTAGCCCTACTATAACACCAAACTAGTTCTCACTACGTTCTCGAAAACAGGTTTAAACTGTGCACGAACTGATTTGACGTACTAAGAACCCACTAAGAACCGTTTGGGATCTGTTTACAAATTTCATGGAACTACTCGAACGAGTCGGTCCTCCAGAACTTAGAGCATGCTCAAAATTTTCTGGTGATCGTCACGTTCTGCAATCAGAACGAGTGACAACGTAGTTAAGACGACCTGGACGCACTGGGGACACACTACGAACGGAAGTGTCGAACTTCAATCCTACTAGGGACGTATTACGACGTTGTGTAGTCAGGCGTAAATTGCAGTCGTGAGTACCCTAATCAGGAAAATAGGGGATTATAAATGTGTTCTGCACGGATTGGGGACACGATGTTTACTATTTTAGAACGAGTTCAACCGTATGGAAATTTGGTGGATAATTCAGTAACATATTAGGACGTATTGAGAACGAGGTACAACTAATTGTCAACTGGTTTAAACTGATTAAGGACGTAATTGAACTGCTTGGATACGTTGTGTAGACGAGACGAACGCACAGTCTAACCCGATTTAAACTTGATACCAACGTTCTGCAGACGGAATAAAGACGAGATGAACGTATTAAAAACTGCTTATGAACGAATTAACAAAAATAGCTATCACACCACACTTCAAAACGTTGCCAAATCGGTTTTAAACTGAATGAACGTAGCTACAACGTTCTACGGTCTGTTTACGAACTTCATGGACTTTCACGGACGGGGAATGTGATTTAGAATTTTGAATCGATTCAAAATTCGATGGCGACCATACCGTTCTGTAATCAGGTCATGATGACCTTCTAGACTAAGGGACGCGTTATACGACGTTGCTCACCGACGTGGTGCGACCTGAACGAACTGCGAATGAGATGGACGTATTGAAGACTGTTTATGAACGAAGTAGCTAATTATTTTAGACATATTACCCGACCACAGCCAGATTGAGCCCGTTTTTTGCCGTTTTCGTAGGACTTGCAAGTACTGTTAAGAACTAGTTTGGTGTGATAGGGGGGTTATTAACGTTAGATAGGACTTATGGTCAATTGGTCGACACACATGAGTATGTCGTGGTTTACGTGTAGATCCAATTGTATAAGTTTACCATCATCATGGATATGCTTTTCTTTAAGTTCGAAACTTATATCTCAACTTGATCTTCGATAAGAATTGTGAAGTTATTCACTCGTTAGTGTTATGAACTATGTTAAAGAGTCTTGTTTGTAGAACACCACGCCACATGAGCGAGATATTGAGTTGATAATGTACAGATTACAACGATGCAGCAGATATGACATTTCTTATCACTCATTGATGAATATTCTTTACAACACGGAAACTATTCATGTCAGCTGGGAAGAATTCATTAAAATCAGTTTCAATGTGACAAGACTTTAAAGTACAAGTTTTTAGCATGTTTTATATATTATGTATGTGCCAGTGGATTCAATGAGAACTAAAACGCATGTACAATTGACTTACCAACCTATTTCTTACAATCTCAATTACAATATCTCCCAAGAGATGAGCCATATGTTATAAATTGGGGACGTTGTGCAGGATTCAAAGTGCAAAACTGGAGAAAAATGTTTGAATTCTCCCTTATAATAAAAATGGTACTAGCAACAGGGTGGTGACAGTACTAGGGTCGGAAATATCGTTATTTTCGTAAAGATTTCACTTTCTTAGCAATGTGTACCTTGCATCTCTATGAAACATCAAATAATTCGAAGAATTGGCCATTTAGATTTTCGCTGATTCAGCATTTTTCGTTTTTTCCTAAAAATCAAATTTTTTGACCATTTTGGCCTGTAATTTGTTACAGGATGGCGCAAAAGGGCTGTTAGTGCTGTTTTTGTGGAGCCATTGCGAGTAGCAGTATTTCTATTGCAAAAAATGGTCAGTTAAGTATAAAATTGCATGGCCCTAAAATGAATGACCCCGGGGCTAACAAAGTAGCTATTAAAGCTTCTCTATTGGTGCGATCGGGCTTAAATTGCACAAAAAGTCTTGAAGCACTCTAATGTTTAATAAAACACGCTTTCTGGCACAAAATCATTCAACCATGTCACTATTACACGTAACTATAATTAAAAAATAATCACATAATTGTAGTAAAAATCTTAGTTTTCCTTATATAAAGTTTGCACTTTGGGGATTTTAAGAAATCGATATCAAGGAATGATATGAGCCAAACGAATTTCAATTACCCCTTCTCATCGTAAACGTGCACCACTAGAGTATCACGACAAGAGTAACTGGCTAATTTACGACGTATTCAACCTACTTTACTGACCTAGATCAAACTGGGGTATATACAATCAAGAGACCCACTAAGTAAGCTCGTGAACATAAAAACAATTGTTGGATCTGCAAGTAGCTTGACATTAAAAGTATGGCCTTATCTCTACGGGGGGCCCCTCTACGTCATCTTCGTCTAGTTTTACGTATACAGCACACGGCCTTGACTTGATTTAGCGCACGGCCTTGACTTTCAAGATCCAGCGCACGCCCTTGACTTGATCCAGCGCACGTCTTAACTTGATCCAGTGCACGCCCTCGAAAACGACTGAAAGTAGCTTAGTATTCTAATTTACGACATCTTCGAATAGCTAGCATATCCAGCGGCAGACTGTTGTATATTTTCTAAAAAAAGTATCACATGATGATTCGGCTCACTTCAAATATTTGACTTTTGTGACGGTGGTCTTGACTCGTGAGTTCGAAATATATTGAGAATCGGAGAGATCGCGGTAAAATGGTCATATATTTTTTTTGTTTCAGTGGCTTTTCTATGGAAACACAATTTTGTTTTAAAGTACACACATGGAGCTTACCGAAAATCCTCGTTTTCATGATAGATTGGAAGATTTCAATGTTTAATAATTAGTAACAAACAAAAATTTCAAAAAGGGCTTATAAGCTAAGCTTTGATGTCATGTTTAAGAACACCTATTCTAACTGTTACAATTGGATTCTAGTAATACCCATCAACATGAATTTACTTGTTGAGACTCAAATCGAGTTCTTCTGAGAAAATGAGGAATTCAGCAAGGGTACCATTGACTTATAATGAGGATGCAATTGCAGTACATGCAGGATGAAATCAATTGCATCCCCATGTTAATTTAATTACACCCTTGCTGAAATCCTCATTTTCTCAGAAGAACTCAAGTTGATCGAGTCTCAACAAGTACATGTAGATTCATAGGTGAGTATTGCTAAAATCCATTTTCAGAAAGAACATCTAGAAAAATGGCTTTGAAAATTACATTTTTGTGCACAATGTGTCTTCTAGTTCGGGGAGATTCCCCATAGACCCCATGTTATAAAATCATAAAAATGAAATACCTTTTTTGTATTGGACGGATAAGATTTTATTTTACTGGACATATTTTGATTTGCATAACTATTAGATGCATAAGGGTTATATGAAAATTGAACCACCAAAACATAATATTTAAGTTAAATGGAACTTCCTACTATACCCGCCATGCTATCTGACTCCAGTGAGCCACCTGGTGGTGAAACTGGTAACTACCTACTCGCATCTGAGATATTCATTTGCTGGTTACTGGGGATATCTCCGACCAAGTTCTATTGCTAAATTAGATGTGGCCGTATTCGTAGTGCTATTAATCATATTTTACACACCGATTTTCGTGCACTGCTATCAACTTGCCTACTTTTATATTCTTTGGATATTTTTGATTGTTCTTTATTGATTGAGGTCATCCTCCTCTTTAAATAAAGTACTTATAAAGTTTACTGAATTAATTATTTTTATATTTATACATTGAAATACCATTAAAACAAGATACTTGACATATAGTACTGAGATGGATCATAAATATAGCTTAAGAATGTCAGTGTGACACAGCGACCCGATTCGTGAGCGATAATGTATAAAAGTACGGACACGCGCCCATTCTTATTATCCTCGCACTTTCTGTTCGAAAGCGCACTTGCAATCGACCATGCAGAGTTTGGTATTGTTGATCGGCATGATGCTTGGGATCTCCCAAGCGCAGACTGACTGGCCACAAATGAAAGACAAAATAGACACATTTGTAAATGACATCCTTGAATGCAGAGGCGTAATCGGGATGAATCTTGCGATCGTAAAAGACGGCGACACTCAGTATACGACTGGCTATGGCTACGCTGACTTCGAAAACCAGGTTCCTAATGATGGCGAAACAATACATTTCATATCATCAGTTAGCAAGTCATTCACTGTGACGTTGTTTGCCACGGTGATAGAAGAGAAGGGGTAAGAAAAACTCGTTACTAAAATCATTGCGAAACCTTTTTGTTCGGTCCACTTTAATGGACCATTTTTGTAGTACCCAATGTTCTTTTTCTCCGACCATTAGGCATTTTAGGGATTTAGGCATTTGGGCTTTTACTCTAAAATTAGGAGGTCTTAAAGCAAATTTCTCTGACAAAATGATTTTATGTAGTTTTTACTGGAACGAATTTTGGGTGTTAACTCTGCATTGATTTTATGATAAATAAGATAGCAAATGATGAAAATGATATAAATCAGCATTTTCCTTAAAATTACCGATACAGCTGTTTTGAATCAAATGAATTTGTGGTAGGACCTAAATGATGTAAAATCAATTTATTGTAATTATGCATTTACTGCAATAATGTATGTAACATCGAAATGATGAAGTGAAATAAAGAGATTTAAAAGAAGAAAAATGTATTGGAATCATTAAAAGTGGCATTCTACAAGGGCCGATCCAAAAGTTTCTTACCGTTGGCTCTCAATTTTATAATGAGAGGAATTGGAAGCTCAAACTTTAACATGAGACAGGATAGTTAGTTTGCTTGAAACTGTACGAGTTTCATATAAATTGGTTTATTGGTAGTGACACAGAGTCAATTCATATTTTCAATGACAAAGTTAGGTGGAGCAGCGTTTTATATAAAATATCTGCTGAGTTGTGGTTCTGGAAATTTACCGACATCCTTTCAAACCTCTCATACGAAGGTCTTAAACATGTGTTTTTGGATCGAGTGGACAGATATAGGAAGTGCATTGCAACTTGTGTTGAATATTTTGAATGAGAATGAATATTAGCAGAAAAACTAATTAAACATGATTAAACTACAGTCTGTTGACAGATGACACTACTGAGTGTTAGAAATTTCCAAAACTGCAGCTTAGCACAGTTTTTTTTATAAAAAACGCTGCTTCACCTAATTCAATCATTGAAAATATGTATTAACTCTGTGTCACTACCAATGAACCAATTTTAATGAAACTCAGACAGTCTCAAGCAAACTTACTACCCTGTCTTATGTAAAAGTTTGAGCATCCAACTCCTCTTAATATAAAATCTAGAGCCAACGGTAAGAAACTTTTTGATCGGCCCTTGTATACCAGTACATGTCACCTCCAATAACTGTTATATACTTTAGAGAGAGTGTGGTGTAGCTACTACTGTAGTTGGGAGGGGGTGTTGCTTGTGGGCCCGCGTGGGGCAGTGACTTAAGGCGAAATGTTACATTTCTAGCATGATCCACCAATGAGAGTGACCAAATAGTAAAGTTACCCCCTATCACACAAAACTAGTTCTTACCCGTTCTTGCCAGTCCTACGAAAACATCGTAAAACGGGCTCAATCTGGCTGTGGTCGGGAAATATGTCTAAAATGATTAACTACTTCGTCCATAAACATACGTCCATCTCATTCGCAGTTCGTTCAGGTCGCACCTCGTCGGTGTGCAACGTCGTACAACGCGTCCCTTAGTCTAGAAGGTCATCACGACCTGATAAAAAAACCGTATGATCGCCATCGAATTTTGAATCGATTCAAAATTCTAAATCACATTCCCCGTCCGGGAAAGTCCATGAAGTTCGTAAACAGACCCTGGAACGTTGTAGCTACGTTCATTCCGTTCGCACACAGTTTAAAACCAGTTTTGAAGAACGCATGCAGTGGCAACTTGCTTGGTGTGATAGCTATATTTTTGCTAACTCGTTGATAAATACGTTCTTAATCAGTTTTAACAATTAGTTCTGCAATTAGTTCTACCTCGTTCTCAATACGTCCTCAGACAGTTCAACTCGTTGTAAAAACGTCCCCAGTAGGATTGAAGTACGACGGTTCCGTTCGTAGTACGTCCAGCTCGTCGTTAGCAGGTTGTCACTCGTTCTAATTGTAGAACGTGACGACCAAGAGAATATTTTGAGCATGTTCTAAATTCTAGAAGACCTACCCGTTCGAGTACGTTCGATGAAGTTTGTAAATAGACCCCAAACGGTACACGGTTGAAGCCCGTTTTCGAGAACGTAGTGAGAACTAGTTTGGTGTGATAGTAGGGTTAAACAATTAAAACCACGAGAAAATGGCTGATTGAATGTGTTCGACCACTTAATTCTTATGCAGATCGAATGGGAAATGTTTGCTGTTACTATTTTAAAGTTTAATGAATGATATTTGATCTCAAATGACGTAATATGCTGGATAAAAACATACGTTTTCGAATTATAATCTTCGGCCATTTATAGGTAATTACGTATCGCAAACCCTGTAACTTAGGTAAAATACCGCTTAGTGTAACAAACGTATAGGTATAGGTAAATGGGTTATTTACGCTATTCTTAAACTCCCTATAAACCCATTTACGTACGAACAGTACGACAGTTCCGTTCATACAGTTCCGACGGGACGTTTAGCTTGCCTAAGTTAGTTGTCACTCGTTCATATTGCAGAACGTGACGACTACGCGAAAATTCTGAGCAAGCTCTAAGTTTTTGAGGACTTACCCGTTCGAGTACGTTCGTGAAGTTTGTAAATAGACCTCAAACAGTTCTAAGTACGTCCAATCCGTCCGTATACAGTTTAAGCTTGTTTTCGAGAACGTAGTGAGAACTAGTTTGATGTAATTGTAGTGTTCGTCGATTTCTCGACTCTTACAAAATTTTGAAATAGGTTCTTATTAAGATCTACTCGTTTTCATTGGGTTCTGCATGCATCAAAAACTCCAATTGTAGTATTTCGTTGTATGTTAAAGACTAGCACTGCCATGCTGTATGCACAAACTGTAAATGAAAAATAAATTTATAATTGGTATTGATATTGAAATTGTGTTGTTTATCCAATAGAATATCGTGGGACTCGCTGGTCACAGATCTCTTGCCGGGCTTCAAATTTCAAGACGATGAGAGAAACAAGGCAATAAAGTTGCGAGATTTGCTTGGCCAAGTGACCGGATTTCCTGATAGACTTCCCGCACCTTACAATACAAATGAAGAGTTCGTCGAGTAAGTATATGACAGAATTGTGGAAACTAACTCATATAAAGCAGGGTATTACATTATATAATTGATAGATGCAATACTGACTTTAATTCAGTAAAATATAGTTTTTACGTTGATTTTCCAGAATAATCCAATGTACAGAACCAGTCATGACGACGCGTGAAAGTTTCTGCTATGTTGACAACAATTATTTTCTGGCCGGAGTTATACTTGAACATTTGACGGGTAAACCCTATACAGAGTTGGTGAAAGAACGAATACATGCCCCATTGAATATGAACACGTCATTTCCATCAAGAGCCAAAGTGTACGATCCCTCCTTTGACAAATGGTCCTATAGCCATTCAATAATAAATGGGACGATCGTTGTCAATGGACAGCCATCGGGAAGGGAAGGTGACTGGACGTAAGCATAATTCTACTATGATTCATGTAGTTCCCAGTACAGTGCTGATAAAAATTAATTGAAAAGTCGTATAGTTGGCATATTTTCTTGAACTTTAACATTTAATGTCTCAAACGCCCACAAACTGCATAAAAGTATACACCGTAAATCATATTTACCAAAATGAGTGTCTCCAAGGCTTCATACCAGCGTATGCATAATGCATTTGTCACGAGTTTGAGCTAAAACAAAGTAATGGTAATCTCCGCCAGGTTTGCTTATTGTGGTTAGTTTTAATGGTTAGAGTTCAGAAGCAAATAATTCAGGTGCGCAAATTAATTAAATAATCTGATTTGTGTAAACTTTAATGCGCATGCGCACGATGTGTATCATGTTTTTTCTAGTGATTTCGTTTCGTTTCATGGAGTTTGTGCTTCAGTGTAACTTGCGCAAAAATGGCGGACCAATGACAGAATTAACAAGTAAAATCACTTCGAAATTTCAGAGAACTTTTTACCTATTATAGCAAAACTTTTGTTTTATTCTATTCGTCCATTCTATCTATCGATCTGATAAGAGTCTAAGGGGGTATGGAGGCAAATCCATTTTGTTAGGAGCACTCTGTTCAGTTTGAAAACTCACCCTGTATTATTTTGTATCAGCACTATAATCAATTTACTAGTAACGTACGGTGCCTAACCTAATCAACAATTTTTAGTAAGAAATATACGTTTCCAAATAGTTCAATGATTGCAGTTCATTTGACCAAAAGTAGTATTAACATATATGTTTTAGGCCGACGTAAAGATGGCAGCAGTGTTTATTCATTTTTCGTAGAATTGCGATTTCAATAGAGAGGTTTCAAAACTCACTTATAACATCTATGTTAGTTCATCTCTCTGGTTTATATATACTAAAACAACTTTATCCATTTCTCATTGTCTTTTTGAATATTGCCATCGTTCTATGTATCTTTCTATTAATAACGCAAAACAAGTAAAAAATATTCCCTGGCCTCAGGTACGTGTATTTATGATTGTATTTGCAGTGAGACCTTAGCGGCGGCATCATGGGGACATATGACAACAGCGGAAGATATGGCGGAGTACATGAAGTTTCACCTTGGGGCGTATAGAAATAATGGATCCACCAATCCAGTAGACCCTGCAATATTGAGAACAGTGTACGAACCAAAGGAATCAATAAATTTCTACACCTCGTTCACTGAGATTGACGGTCTGGAAGATTTGCAAGAAACGTGGAGAGTATATGCCTATGGCATGGGATTTTGGATTGGGAATTATAAAGGCGAGTACTAAAGACCATGTTCAGGGTGTCCAGAAAAATAGGACCGTGAGAAAGATGAATAACTCGGTCAATTCTGTATATTTTGCAATTGAAATTTATTTAGTTCATTCAATGTGAATTTTGTTGTGAAAGTTTATAATAATCTGCTATTTGAGTCAAAATCTACAGTTCCTTCCATAACATGCCCCAAATGAGCATCTCTCCTCTCTATGCACAATTCAATTTGGCGAACAAAGTTGTTGATGATCTTCCTCCACATATATCTTTCTGAATGGACAGGTTTATTCCAAGAACAATGCATTGGAACTGGGGCTGACATCCTCCTGATGAAATGTTACAGCATCCATTGCATTCTAAACAATGCATTGCCTGGGTGGCAATGAGAAAACATGTAATCATCAGTCCTTTTTGGTTCGAAGGTGACTGGGGACGTGCTTTCACCATGAACAAGGACCAGTAAGTTCTCGCTAAGTTTTGGAGGTCACTAAGCACCAGAAGGGACATCTAAAGAGATAAACATTGGTTTCAACAAGCCAATACTACCCTAACACTGCATATGATATGCTGAAATGGTTAAGGCAATACTTGGTGGTCAGCTCATCAGTCGCAGAGCGCAAACCATATGGGCAGCTCATTCGCCAAATCTAAATCCCCCAGATTTTTATCTTTGGGGATTTCTCAAAGTCAATGTGTATACTGACAGGCCTCTAACAATCTTAAGAGGGCAATAACTACCCCAATATGTACCATCCACATCGATGTGTATAGGTTAGGGTCATTTACAACTTGGTTCACACTATTCGTTTGTGTATAGACAGAAGTGCCCACTTTGAGCTTGTTTTGTAAAGTACTGTAGTTTTTGACACAATTGACAAATTATTATCAATTCTTCTAGAACAAAATTCACATTGAATAAACTAAAATATTCTAAAATTTGAAGGCAAAATTTGCAAAATTGACCGAATTATTCAACTTTCTTACGGTTCTGTCTTTTGGACACACTTTAACATTCCTCTTTCATACGTCGTTGAATTAAATATGCGAGACAATAGTCTAAATGAGGTATATGGCTACAAATGACCACCTACCCAATGCCTTGCAATTGCTGCGCCCATGAACTCGCCATCAACAAGTCGTCACCAATATAGCTACCGTGTATAAAGGGTATAAAGGTAGACACGGGGGAGGGAAATCTACACGTACGTGAACATGACTATGTGGCAGTGTGGTCCGATAGCGATTAGTTCTCCCTTTACTTGAGCGATTAAGTATGAGGGTAATCCTGGTAATAGAAGAATAGTTGCAATTAGGTCCCCTGAAAAGAAACAATGAGAACCTTATACTTCAGCAAAATAGAGCCTCTAAGTGCAATCCTTCATGATTTATAAATTACCCCTTCTGCACCAAGGTTTCAATACACCGTTGGAAAGCTGAGAGTGTCAGATTTAAGAATCCAAACTACATTCGGATTTTCGCTGAATGCATAAATTAGATATTAACCCTTTCATCGCCAATGTGTAAAAGTAAGAAATCAATCATGCTTTCTCAATCAAAATATATTTTGACAGTCACTTTCTACTTTTAATCTAAATGCCCATAACAACAAATCTTGTGGTCCAGGCAACACAACAATATATAATCATGATGTTTTCACTTTGTGGTTATAATTACATTTCTTCTTTGAAATTAGTTTATATGAGGGTGGGAGGGTGGTTGGTCGGGAAAATGTATGGTTTCAGAATGCGTATATGGACTGTTATGTCTCAGAAACTACTGTATTCATTGGAATCACTCCATATTAGACAGTATGCACGTTTGAGATGGAATTCTACATTAGAGTGAAATAAAAAGATGCAGTATGAGTAAATAGGTGTGTCAAAGATAAAATATTTGGCTTGATGGATTCCACTTAACCTTGATATGCAGTGAATACCCCAGGGGGAGGGGGAGATTTCTAAAGGATGACTTATCATATAGGCACGTTAGAATGAAACATGTTTTATAAACAGGCCTCAATTTGCCGTTAAAATGAATCTCCAAATGTTCACTGTAGAGTATTCTCTACAAAAATGGATCGAGTTATTTCAATAGTATTACCGTAGGTTTGAAATGATGATGTTGAACTGATGTTAACGCCATTCCCACGATTTCAAATTTAGCTTTGCGCATGCGCAGCACTGAGAGAGCACGTGCTCATGATTGTTCATGTGATCACATCCTGCAATTTGATTAGAGATGATGCAGGAGATGATGTAATGGAGAATCCCCGAATACGATAGATAATGAAAGAATTATGGGAGCTACTTACTTTTTCTGGAATACCCCAAACAACTTGTTAAGTATGTGTGTAGTGCTCCTTTGGAATTAATCATATCATTGATTGATTGAAGTTAACATATAAGGGTTTATTTAAAAATATAATATTGATGTCAACGATACAATACGAATGCAAGGGATGCGATGTTACGCAATTTTAAGACAAAGGTGCATATTATCATGTTAAGTCAATACACGCTTGCTGCAATCTTAATATTCTGAGGAGAAAATTAGCAATTTTATTGTATATTCCTAAATACCCAAATTACACATTAAAGTACATATTATTTTCAAATATCAAATCTCATTTCTACCGAAATCAAAAATTGTGACGCATTTTGTAGCATTATGGGGTCACTGCACTTAATGACTCCCTAGCCTATCAGGGTTCATACTCTTAAATATTTTGACATTGAATTAATCATTGTAAACCTAAGAATAATTCATTAATCAATTCTGCATTCTGGCCATAGGGGTACTTGTCATTTTGAAATTGATTTTCATAAAATTAAAAAATGACCCCTTTGGGATGAAAGGGTTAATATCTAATTTTGCATTCACTTAATATTCAAATGATGGTCAGATTCTTCAAGGTTACCTTTTCAGCTTTCCATCGGTGTATTGGAACTACACACTATTTTCAAATATCAAATCTCGTTTCGACTGAAAACAAAAATTCTGAAGCATTTTGTAGCATAATGGAGCCACTGCACTTAACCTCTGCACTTAATCTTGGTTCAAACTCGTAAATATTCTCCAAAGTATAATTTGAAATTGAATTAGTTATTGTAAACCTAAAAATAATACATTCTGGCCACAGGGGTATTTGTCATGTTGAAATTGATTTTCCTAAAATTAATAAATGACCCCTTGGGAATGAAATGGTTAATATCTAATTTTGCATTCACTAAAATTCAAATGGAGGTCAGATTCTTATAGCTTACCCGTTTAGCTTCCCAACGGTATATTGGAACCTTAGTTCAGAGGTCGTCATTTTAACACCCTAGTTTGCTCGTGTATAAATTCTTTTGAAAACACCTAGTCTCTAACCTCCATATAATTTATGTTGTTTCATTTCAGACACTGACTTCATACAACACAGTGGTTTTGGGCCCCATCAAACTATTCTAACATTGTTTGATTACTGGAACATTGGCATATATTCATCGTCAAATGGACCTGGTACTAGGTTCGAAAGCGGCGGGCTCAATGGACACACTACGATGTCATTCATTCATTTTTATATCGCAGACATCCTTCGGGGCAATACTCCAATCTATGATATCGAATACGCTTGTGAATACACTCTTCCTGATAAATACGGTGCTTACTGCGGACCTTTCAACATATTTCCTGATTATAGCATCGATAAATCAAAAAATTCAACCTCTCCCACTGAAACCTACATTGGAACTTATGTTACAGGAGATGAAGAGGTCGAAATTAAAATTGACCCAGTTACCACTGACCTAATGATGACGAAAGGTTGTGAAAAGTACATCCTTTACCCAAGTGGAGTGGCCAATTCTTTTGTTGCCCAATCAACAGGGGATTGTTATGGATGTGCTGAAAGTTTTGTCTTCACAAGTGTGTCCGAATCTGGGTCATCAGCGTTTGAAGATTTCTCAAGACTGAGTATAGATGGCGTCAAATTTCTAAACTCAAAGATAAGTTCTGATAGTCCAGTCAAAGTAACACTTGACCCAAAACTAATTGCAATAGTAATTAAATGTTGTTTTTTCAATTTATATATGCATATAAAATGACATACTAAAAGTCTACCAAAATCTATTTAGTGGAACATATAAAAAAATAATTTTGGTACCCTCTCCCCCTGAAAAAATAGATCCCCCTTGGGAAAAAATCATTTTTCAAATGTCTGAAACATGTGTAATTGAGGCAATACAAATAAAAAAATATTAGGTTAAGTGATTACAGCATATGGAAAAGAATAATATCAATTGAACCACTGACATAGTTGATGAAGATAACCATTTGCATCAAGGTCACTGGTAGTGTGACGTCATATCGACGTTGGTCGCCATATTGTAACCCAAGAAAGATGGTAAAATATGCCCCACAACATATTCTGACAAACTCAACAATTGACCAACTCACTTTATTTAAACATATTCATTCATTCCAGGCGAAATTAAAATAATTTTGATAGTGTAAAACCACTTTAATAAGCTGATAAATATTGTTTTCAATTCTCAATTTCATGTCATTGTTTCTAACAATTTGCCTCTTTCTTTCTTTTCATATTTTTGTCAAGTCAAAATCGGAGTTCAAAACCTGGATTCTTTACAATCTATGCTTATGTATTAGTATTTAATAACATGAAAAATGTTAAACCATACGTCCTACATTGATTTGATGTGAAATAGTGATCATTGACATGATTCTTGTGCTGTTAGGCTATGTTTGGATTTTTTTATATAATTTTATTTTACCAGTTTTCTTCTTTCTCATAATTAAACTTGAGGTGTGAGTACCGTAATCCAACAACAAATTCGAAAATTCAGAACAATACTTTGCATGGCGTTCGTGATCAACTATAAAACGCTTACCCCCATAGTGATATATATCAAAATGTACCTGTTCATAGAGGGGTTCGATTGATCTACATCAAATTATAGGGAGTCTGGTTACTTTTTGAGATATCAGCGTCCATTTATTGTAACTCGCGTTTGCTACAATTTCCTCAATTCTGAGATGACGGGCAAACGCGTAGTCAACATGCTCACGTCGGAACTATTTTGACCTACATCGCTATTTTCGTAATTCAAATAAAAGTTGAACTCCTCCTCTTTATTTTGATACCAAATAGTGGCATCCTAGGTAGCCTAGAAGCCAACTATGGGGTTATTTAGAACAAAACCACAGGTTTTTAAATGGATATGTAGGGGTCATACCTTTTGGCGGATGGATATGGAACCTCATTTATGACATCACACTGATTTTTGTCTCAGCAACTTTTTTGACAGAAAATATCATTTTTAGTTCAAAGATGCATAAAAACGTCGGAACTGGCTCAATATGTGAAAAAATTATCCATTTAGGATAGAAACTAACTTTGCCACTGTGACGTCACAAGTCTAACCTGACTATCTTTGAGTTTGTTGAAGAAGATGATACGTCTGACAAACAGCTTTCATTCCATATATGGCACGCCTTCTACTAAGAGCTACATTATTGACTAAATCTACGACAAAACGCCCCATGTCCCGAGGATTTTGACTGAACATTGGCCATTTTCGCCCAAATATAAGAAAATCGCAGTTTCCAAAGCTGAATTTTAAAATAAATATTGCTACAATGTAGCAATTTAAGAATCACACATGCTTACTGTTTCTGTTGGCCTGACACGAGTATCTAGCCTATAAAATGAAAAATCGCTACACTGTAGCAATTTCAGAGAGATGTGCACTTTCGAAACCATGTTATTTTAGCAAAAATAAAAAAATAATCTACAATTTTGACGGAATTTAAGTGGGGTGTCTTTCATTTATAACCCTCCACGGGCCCATTTTGACAATTCTGATGCGCATGGAAGGTTCGAAAGTGAATTAAAAGCATTGTGCGGCCTTAGCTGAATGAGAAAATCGACCCTGTTTTCAAATTCTGTTAAAATATTGGTCTTTGGCCAAGTAGCAGACAATTTTAGGCCTTATATTAAGGTGTGACTACCGTAATCCAACACGAAATTTGAAAATTCTGAACACTACCTCGCAAATATGGTGTTCGTGTCATACTATGAAACGCTTACCCCCATAGTGTTATATATTAAAATGTACCTGTTCATATTGGGGTTCGATTGATCTACATCAGATTAGGAGTCGGGTGACTTTTTGAGATATCAGCGTCAATTTATTGTAACACGCGTTTGCTACCATTTGCTCAATTCAATTGCTAAATTAGATGTGTCCGTATTCGTAATGCTTTTAATCAGTTTTACACAACGATTTACTGTACTACCAAATTAATTATCTTGCTCAATTTTGGATTCTTTAGATATTTTCGATTGTTCTTTATTGATTGAGGTCATACTGCTCTTTAAATAAAGTACTTGAAATAAATAAATAATAAAAAAAAAAATAAAAAAATAAAGTACTTTGAAAGTTTACGTCTCTCTCATCCTGTCGAACTATTTGCTAAAACAATCAAAGATATAAATCAATCAACGGGTATTCTAAATTAAAGCCCCGTGCGTGCAGAGTTTTAAAATATAGTTCAATCGTTCAGGTTAGGGTCACATCGTTCTTTCTCATTCTGCTATTTGCAAGAACAATCAAAGATATAAATCCACGTATTAAAGACTTGACATACTTAAAATACTTGACATACAGTACTGGAATGGATCATAAATATAACTTAAGAATGTCAGTTTGACACAGTGACAAGTCATTCACTGTGACTTCGAAAACCAGGTTCCTAATGATGGCGAAACAATACATTTCATATCATCCGTTAGCAAGTCATTCACTGTGACGTTATTTGCCACGGTGATAGAAGAGAAAGGGGTAAGAAAAACTCGTTACTAAAATCATTGCGAAACCTTTTTGTTATGTCCACTTTAAAGGACCATTTTCCTTATATAAAGTTTGCACTTTGGGGATTTTAAGAAATCGATATCAAGGAATGATATGAGCCAAACGAATTTAAATTACCCCGTCTAATCGTAAAAGTGCACCACTCGAGTATCACGACAAGAGTAACTGGCTAATTTACGACGTATTCAATCTACTTTACTGACCTAGATCAAACTGAGGTATATACAATCAAGAGACCAACTAAGTAAGCTCATGAACATGAAAACGATTGTTGGATCTGCAAGTAGCTTGTATATTAAAAGTAAGACCTTATCTCTACGTCATCGTCGTCTAGTTTTACGTATCCAGTGCACGACTCACTGGCGGATTAGGGGGGGGGGGGCCTGGGGGCCCGGGCCCCCCCCCCCCCCTTGGGTGGGCCCAGAAAAAAAAATTGGGCCCAAAAAAAATTTTGGGCCAAAAAAGGCCTTAAGGCCCCCAAAAAGTCGGCCTTTTTGGTCATTACTGGGCCTTTTAAGGCCTTATTTTTTAAATTCAGGCCAAATTTTGAGGAAAATAGGCCTCAAAATTTCAAAATTTGGGCCCACTTTTGCGTTTTAGGGGCCCAAAATTTTTTTCCGCGCAAGCGCGGACGTTTTTTTTCTCTGACCTGAAATTTGGGCCCCCCCCTTGTTGGTTCCCAGATCCGCCCCTGCGACTGGATCCAGCATGACTTGATCCAGCGCACGCCCTTGACTCATATGGTCATCACAACCTCGAAAGAAAACGTAGCTTAGTATTCTAATTTACGACATCTTCGAATAGCTAGCATATCCAGCGGCCGTCCTTTAATACTCAGTCCGCCTGCAGATCTGGTCATCACAACCTCGACAACAATTGTTGAAATTGCAAGTAGGTTGTCCATTAAAAGTAACACCTATTTAGATTAAGTTATGAAATCTTCACTTAACTTAATGTATCATAGCTCCCTGGAATTGACTCATTGGGCTACTCAGTTATGACATCTTTACTTACAGCCTTAGGGTGATGTATCACATCTCCCTAGAGTTGACTCACGGGGCTATTCAACAGAGGGATGTTGTGTATTTTCTAAAAAAAGTAGCACATGATGATACGGCTCACTCAGAATCGGATAGATGGCGGAAAAGTGGTCATATATTTTTTATTTCAGTGGCTTTTCTATGGAAACACAATTTTGTTTTAAAGTACACACATGGAGCTTGGAAGATTTCAATGTTTACCAATTAGTAACAAACAAAAAATTCGAAAAGGGCTTAGCTAAGCTTTGATGTCATGTCTAAGAACACCTATTCTAACTGTTACAATTGGATTCTAGTAATACCCATCAACATGAATTTACTTGTTGAGACTCAAATCGAGTTCTTCTGAGAAAATGAGGATTTCAGCAAGGGTACCATTGACTTATAATGAGGATGCAATTGCAGTACATGCAGGATGAAATCAATTGCATTCCCATGTTAATTCAATTACACCCTTGCTGAAATCCTCATTTACTCAGAAGAACTCAAGTTGATCGAGTCTCAACAAGTATATGTAGATTCATTGGTGAGTATTGCTAGAATCCATTTACAGAAAGAACATCTAGAAATATGGCTTTGAATTATAAGTGTTTATGTGTTTATCAACTTTTAAAATTAAATTTTTGTGGACAATGTGTCTTCTAGTTCTGGGAGATTCCCCATGTTATATATCATAAAAAGTGAAATATCTTTTTCAGTATTGGACGGACTATATTTTGATTTGCATAACTATTAGATGCATAAGGGTGATATGAAAATTTAATCACCAAAACTGATAATATTTAACTTAAATGGAACTTTCTACTATACCCGCCATGCTATCTGACTCCAGTGAGCCACCTGGTGGTGAAACTGGTAACTACCTGCTCGCATCTGAGTTATTCATTTGCTGGTTACTAGGGATATCTCCGACCAAGTTCTATTGCTAAATTAGATGTGGCCGTATTCGTAGTGCTATAATCATATTTTACACACCGATTTTCGTGCACTGCTATCAACTTGCCTACTTTTATATTCTTTAGATATTTTCGATTGTTCTTTATTGATTGAAGTCATACTCCTTTTTAAATAAAGTACTTATAAAGTTTACTGAATTAATTATTTCTATTTATTCATTAAAATACCATTATATACCAAAACAAAATACTTGACATACAGTACTGAGATGGATCATAAATATAACTTACGAATGTCAGTTTGACACAGTGACCCGATTCGTGAGCGATGATGTATAAAAGTACGGACACGCGACCATTCTCATATAATTATCCTCGCACTTTCTGTGCCAAAGCGCACTTGCATTCGACCATGCAGAGTTTGATATTGATGATCGGCATGATGCTTGGGATCTCCCAAGCGCAGACTGACTGGCCACAAATGAAAGACAAAATAGACACATTTGTAAATGACATCCTTGAATGCAGAGGCGTAATCGGGATGAATCTTGCGATCGTAAAAGACGGCGACACTCAGTATACGACTGGCTATGGCTACGCTGACTTCGAAAACCAGGTTCCTAATGATGGCGAAACAATACATTTCATATCATCCGTTAGCAAGTCATTCACTGTGACGTTATTTGCCACTGTGATAGAAGAGAAAGGGTAAGAAAAACTCGTTATGATCGTCTTAAGGTATGAGTACCGTAATCCAACACCAAATTGGAAAATTCAGAACAATACTTTGCACCCGGGACTTTGCACATATGGCGTTCCTGATCAACTATAAAACTCTTACCCCCCATAGTGTTATATATCAAATTGTACCTGTTCATATAGGGGTTCGATTGATCTACATCAAATTATAGGGAGTCGGGTTACTTTTTGAGATATCAGCGTCCATTTATTGTAACTCGCGTAGTAAACATGCTCACGTCGGAACTATGGTAGTTACTGAACAGATTGACCTAGTTAGTAGCGACGCTTCTTCTTTGGTCAATTCCTCAGTTATTTGTGGGTTTTCAACGTAACTCTATAATGTAATTTAAAGATAAGTACTTTTATTCAGTGGTTGCATCGATGTTGCAGTTTGTAGTGCGGTAAGCCCGGGGCGGTAAGATTGGCATGAAAGTGTTGAAAGTCCAAAATGGCAACTAGTCAACTGATCAAGTGACCTTCTCTTCCGGAATATCACACTCACTTTTCAATCATAGTTTTCACCATGCTATGAACGAATATAATGAAAACAATATATATTTTATTAAGATTAATAAGAGATCAATTGTTTCTGATAACTGTTTCTGTGCTTTCGTACGAGTATATGAACGAATATATCGTTTGGAAAATGTTAAACCTATGGGGGAAAACATAAATTTGTTCCTCCGTGAACTGCATCATGGGAAATATTTTGACCTTATAAGGAAAGATTTTCGCGTCTCCTCTTTTGAAAAGGGAACAACGATCTGGTCAATTACTTCCTAGTCTAGTAGCTCATCTCGTTTGAAGTATGTTGCCACACGATCTAATCACAGAACGGTATGATCACCATCGAATTTTGAAATGATTCATTTCAAAATTCTAAATCACGTTTCCGTCAGAGCACGTCTATGAAGTTCGTAATTAAGTTGCAGCTATGTTCGTTGCAACTAGTTTGGTATGATACATGTACATGTTGGTACATTTCTATTAAGTCGTTCATCAGCAGTCTTCATTATTCAGTTTACACCCGTTTAAAATCAGTTTTACCTCGTTCTCAAAACGTCCTCAGACAGTTTTATCCGTTCTAAAAACGCTTGAAAGAATTTTTGGCCGGGGGGGGGGGTTCGCCCGAACCCTGCGAACCCCCCCCCCCCCGGCTATGGGCCTGATTATACTGTAAACAAAATTTAACTGTGAATAAATATAAAAAAGATCGAAGTACGACAGTTCCGCTCAAACAGTTCCGACATGACGTAGTAGTTGTCACTCGTTCTAATTGCAGAACGTGACGACTACCAGAAGAGTTTGAGCAATAAGTTTTAAGTTTTGGAGGACTTACCCGTTCGAGTACGTTCGTGAAGTTTGTAAATAGACCTCAAACAGTTCTAAGTACGTCCAATCCGTCCGTATACAGTTTAAGCTTGTTTTCGAGAACGTAGTGAGAACTAGTTTGATGTAATTGTAGTGTTCGTCGATTTCTCGACTCTTACAAAATTTTGCAACTATGTTCTTATTAAGATCTACTCGTTTTCATTAGGTTCTGAATGCATCAAAAACTCCAATTGTAGTATTCCGTTGTACGTTAAAGACTAGCACTGCCGTATGCACGAACTGTAAATGAAACATTTCGTATACAGAACGTTTCAACCCGCCTTATTTCTTACTTTACAGTTTTAGAGCTGTTTTGTAACAGGGTGGTTACCCCCCTATCACACCAAACTAGTTCTTGCCCGTTATTGCCAGTCCTACGAAAACGTCGTAAAACGGGCTCAATCTGGCTGTGGTCGGAAAATATGTCTGAAATAATTAGCTTCTTCGTTCTTAAACAGTCTTCAATACGTCCATCTCGTTCGCAGTTCGTTCAGGTCGCACCACGTCGGTGTACAACGTCGTAGAACGCGTCCCTTAGTCTAGAAGGTCAACATGACCCGATTACAGAACAGTATGGTCGCCATCGAATTTTGAATCGATTCAAAATTCTAAAATCACATTCCCGTCTGAGAACGTTCATAAAGTTCGTAAATAGACGTTAGAAAGTTGCAGCTACGTTCATTCCGTTCGCACACAGTTTAAAACCAGTTTTGGAGAACGCAGTGGCAACTTGTTTGGTGTGATAGCTATATTTTTGCTAACTCGTTCATAAGCAGTGCTAAATACGTTCTTAATCAGTTTAAACCCGTTTGCAATTAGTTCTACCTCGTTCTCAACACGTCCTCAGACAGTTCAACTCGTTGTTAAAACGTCCCTAGTAGGATTGAAGTACGACGGTTCCGTTCGTAGTACGTCCAGCTCGTCGTTAGTACGTTGTCATTCGTTCTAATTGTAGAACGTGACGACCACGAGAACATTTTAAGCATTGTCTAAATTCTAGAGGACCTACCCGTTCGAGTACGTTCGATGACGTTTGTAAATAGATCCCAAACGGTTCTTACTAGGTCCAGTCCGTTCGTACACAGTTGAAGCCCGTTTTCGAGAACGTAGTGAGAACTAGTTTGGTGTGATAGTAGGGTTATGAAATAAAAATGGGTTGTATCGTTAAGGGGAACTGAATCCAACATTGTTTTTTCTTTTAAACAAACTATTGAAAACATTCTTGAAAATCCTTTATATAATGGCCACTGATTGACAATTTAATGCAAAAATTATTTAGACTATATATATTTTATATAACTGTTTTTATTAATATATATATTCTTAGTGCAAATGTCATTTTGTTCCAATGGGGTATGGATAAATGTTTCATTTCTTTACGAACATATGATACCAAGAACAAAAAGAATTGTCTGATGTGTTTTCTAAAACAATATAGAGAAACGTTTTCAAATATTTTTTATATTTAATTGTTAACATTCAAAATATAATAATTTAATTTATTGACGGTGTGTAAAGTTTTCAGAATTTTTGAATGACTGGTTTAAGAGAAACAAGTTCAGAGATTTATATTGATACCAATCCTTTAAAGACAAATGTCATAGAATCACGGATCGATATGGCATTATTTTTGCTTCTTTATTCATTAAATTCAAATATATTCGATATATGAAATATTTATATTCGCTAAATCATTTTTCCATTCGGTAAAAACGTTTATTTGTTTGTTACAGCAAATTAAGTTTTCAAAATAGCCAATCACTTAATACTATGTGCATTAAATTACATATTTCATTCGTTAAATGATATTTTTCGGCGTAAAGTGTTATGGTATTCCTTAAGAGTAACACATTATATGCACAATATTGAATTTCTATTTGAACCCTACCGAAATAAGTTTGCCTATATTTACCAAATGGTTTATTTTTCTATGACATAGTTAATGCATTTTACCGAAAGCTAATTTGCTATTTACCGAATGCAATAAAGTAATATTCGATAACTTGCGTTGTTGTTCGATATTTTGTCACGTGACTTCGAGATTTGCATAATGGCCGCGCAGCTATTCTACATAGTACAAATATATCACGTGACTGAAAGTCTCGTAAATTATCGAAAAATAACGAAATTTATCGAATGTGGCATTCGGTATTTACCGAATATAAATAATTTAAATACCGAATGTACAAATAATTAATTGAATTATGCGTGCGTTAAGGAAAACAAATTGATTCGCTGCATCACACAAATACATGTATAAATATCAAATGTGAATGTCAATATAAAGAACAAGTGAAACTATTGAGCGAATATAAATTGTATAGATTATTACATTTGATAAAATAAAAAAACATTCGATAGATTGGGTAAAGGTTTGGTAAATTGTTTGTTTTATTTGGTATTTATGGAATATTAATGTACCGAATAAAGAAGCAGTTTAAACACCATAGATCGAAGCCTCAATTCTTTATAATTGGTATTGATATTGAAATTGTGCTGTTTATACAATAGAATATCGTGGGACACGCTGGTCACAGATCTCTTGCCGGGCTTCAAATTTCAAGACGATGAGAGAAACAAGGCAATAAAATTGCGAGATTTGCTTGGCCATGTGACCGGATTTCCTGAAAGACTTCCCGCACCTTACGATACAAATGAAGAGTTCGTCGAGTAAGTATATGACAGAATTGTGGAAACTAACTCATATAAAGCAGGGTATGGCATTATATAATTGATAGATACAATACTGACTTTAATTCAGTAAAATATAGTTTTTTACGTTGATTTTCCAGAATAATCCAATGTACAGAACCAGTCATGACGACGCGTGAAAGTTTCTGCTATGTTGACAGTAATTATTATCTGGCCGGAGTTATACTTGAACATTTGACGGGTAAACCCTATATAGAGTTGGTGAAAGAACGAATACATGCCCCATTGAATATGAACACGTCATTTCCATCAAGAGCCAAAACGTACGATCCCTCCTTTGACAAGTGGTCCTATAGCCATGTCATAATAAATGGGACGATCGTTGTCAATAGACAGCCATGGGGAAGGGAAGGTGACCGGACGTAAGCATAATTCTATTATGATTCAATGTAGTAGTTCCCAGTAGTCAATTTACCAGTAACTTGCCAAGCATCAAATATTTAAATTTTTCAGTAACACCCCAGTCACATTTGTCGCACGGCGGCCGCAAGTCGACCGCAGATCAATTAAATCGGTGAATTTCTACGGCGAGCGTAGAAAAACTACGCTCGCCTTGCGGCCTCCGTACGCCGAATGCAGATTTTTACAGGCCCCAGGGAAGGCGTAGAAATTATAACTCGGAGTTATAATTTTTGTTCATTTCTGAGGTCACCGTAGTAATCAACTGGCTCAACAAGATTGAATCATTATTTGTCAATGTTTCACGATCACTTTTCATTTGATATTACATCCTAGCACTATGAATAACATTTATAAATTGTCCCGATGTAAAATGGGAAATATGACTGCGAAAGTATGAGAGCGCAGAAATTCCACGGCGAGCGTAGAAATGTTACTGGCCGCAGAAATGATAGACCGCAAGGTCGCCGTAGGAAATGTGACTGGGGTATAAGAAATATAGGTTTCCAAATCGTTCAATCATGGCAGTTCATTTGACCAAAACTAGTATTAACATATATCTTTTAGGCCGACGTAAAGATGGCAGCAGTGTTTATTTATTTTTAAGTAGAATTGCGATTTCAATAGAGAGATTTCAAAACTCACCAATAGCATCTATGTAAGTTCATCTCTTTGGTTTATATATACTAAAACAACTTTATTCATTTCTCATTGTCTCTTTGAATACTGCCATCGTTCTGTTTATCTTTCTATAACGCAAAACAAGTGATTTAAAAATATTCCCTGGCCTCAGGTACGTGTATTTATGATTGTATTTGCAGTGAGACCTTAGGGGCGGCAGCATGGGGACATATGACGACAGCGGAAGATATGGCGGAGTATATGAAGTTTCACCTAGGGGCGTATAGAAATGACGGATCCACCAATCCAGTTGTAGACCCTGCAATATTGAGGGAAATGTACGAACCGAAGGAATCAATCAATTTCTACACCTCGTTCGCTGAGATAGACGGCCTGGAAGATTTGCAAGAAACATGGCGAGTATATGACTATGGCATGGGATTTTGGATTGGGAATTATAAAGGTGAGTATTAATAATCTCTTTAAATTTGGTAATAGCATAGTTACACCGTGCAAACTTGGGTGTAACATTTCATTAAAATGGTAATTTTAAATCTGCATTATAATGTTTTGTACTCAAAAGCATTAAAGGCCCAATATGCAGTTAAAAATGTATTTTATAATAGTAATGTGAAATCGCAAATAAAATTATTTGACACTTTAGTCAAACCGATTGCACTCTATGCTTCTGATGTTTTGGCTACAGATATTGTAAAGTTAAAAGACAAATCCTTGAAGGACGTACTTTTAAATAATTTATTTCCGTTTGAGAAGTTACACAATAGATATTGCAAACAGGTATTCGGTCAAGCCAAGTAACTTAGTCAACATTCGATATTCGTATGTTCATCAATATTAACTAAGAATGGTGCCACAATTGAAATAAAGCTCTGTTAAATTATTTTCAATAAACCTTTCAGCAAACGTGTAAATGATTATTTTGATGTTCTGTTACATATTGGTGAAGCAATCTTGGAGATATGGCCTAAATTTCTGAATTTCCACTATGTCCCTGTATACCCCTTCTTCAAAAGATGTACATGTATGTTATTTGTCATTTTTCATTATGAATCAACCATAAATATTTTTTCTTGTTTACATACAGAATGAACTTTCTGTTTTCAAATATTGAAAGATGGTGCTGCATTATTTTTTCATTATATGGAGCAAACAAATGCGTGTCAATTTATACTGTAATATCCCACATACTTATATTTCAAGAGTAGTTTTGAAGAATAATCAAGAAAATCCATGTTTTCAAATGAATTTATCATTGTCAAAGAACGTTAATGAGGATTTGCGGTTTAAAAAACTAACTAAAGTTCTTACAATTCTTGGTTTAAACAAATATTTCGAAAGTTGCGATTTCGAATGTAATATCCAACTCAATGAAATTTGTTGATATTTGTGAATTTTTTCTTTCGGAATGCACATTGCTGGATCACAGAACCTTGCCTTGTTCGTGATGCACGAAAAGTTTAGTGTTAATACTTGACGTCGTTTGGATATTTGGATGTGATTGACGTTTTCGTTAATCTCCAACCACTGTCACTTCCAACTTAATTTTTGAAAGCCAAATATGATAGTCACGAATTGATATTTAAGTCACACGTTGATGCATACATTGTGTGTACATTAACGGTCGAATACATGCCGACTTATATTTTATATAAATATCCACAGTTAACTCAAATCATCAATTCTCAAAACGGTTTATCATGTAACCTGGTGAGTTTAATGTTTCATTTTAATTTACGATTATGGTATCGGATTTGAGTATGATATTAGTCGAGGCTTAAACAAAGCAATACAACTGCGTGAAACCTTTTTTGAAAATTCGAACGATTTTTCAAGAATTCTCCTTCAAAGTGTTACCACAGTGCTCCCCGGGAGTGGAAATTTCGTCTTGTGTAATCAAAATAATAGCGGGTGGTTTGAATTTTTGTTCGAGTTTATAGCTCAGCATCTATAAATTTAAAAACATGTCGCCTCATTGAGAGGTACATGCAGATGTTGGCGATCTTTTATAATAAAAGGCTACATTTTGAGCAAAAACAGGAGTTGACACGCTTACATTTGGAATTAAAATTTCCTACATAATTGTCGACTCATGTTTAAAAGTCATGAAAACAAGGTTGAGCACAAAACAATGACCCAGTTACTGTCTATTTAGCATGGGATCACTAAGGGAAATATCATTAATAACTTAAATCGTCAACGGTTAAGTTGTATTCCAAGAAACTTATCAATTTAGAAATGCAAAATGTTCAATTTTGTTTTTTTAATTATAAAAATCGCACCTGTAGAGAACAACGTTCACAAAATTATTTAAAACGGAGATATTTACTTATGTTACATTCGTTGGCATGTGTCGGGGAGTAAATAAGAAGAATATGCATTTGATTAATATCTTGTTCCCAAAGAAGTTTGTTAAGGAGCGGTATATCTTAACGTACTTTTATCATCCCGAACTCAAATATTTTTGAATACTTATTTTGAGAACGCTTTGTTGAGAATGGATTCGAGATGTACTCAAAATTAATACGTAAAATTGTGTATTATCATCTTAATAACCACCTCACAAATTATTTTTCAAATCAAAGATGTACGATTTTTGAGATTTTTATTTTCGAATGTTGACTTAGTTACTCGGCTTGACTGATTATGCGTAAATAATAACTGCAGTAACGTGTCAGCCAAGGCTGAATTGGGCAGATACCCGCTGCTCATTAATATATTAGTTAGTACTCTAAAATTTTGGTTTCACTTGAAAAAGTCACCAATAGATTCATATTCATTCATTTTTAGTAAACATGAGGAAGACTAGCATGAATCAGGGCATTGGAGCTTCTTTTCGTTTATTACTCGGATTTTGTCAATACCCAATAAAAATATTGATCTACAAAAAATCCATACATGTGATAGAGTCAAAATTGATAATTTGATAAAATCTACAATGACAAATGTAGAAAAAGAAAACAAAAGCGTGTTTATACAAGACATCAATAGATCAAATGATGCTCCAGGTAAATTCAGAAGCTATAAACTACTAGTAAAGCATGCATATAAAAAATAAAGTTATCTTTTACAGAACTCCACCTATAGACAATCTATTGCTAACCCCCCTATCACACCAAACTAGTTCTTACCCGTTCTTGCCAGTTCTACGAAAACGTCGTAAAACGGGCTCAATCTAGCTGTGGTCGGGAAAGTTGTCTAAAATAATTAGTTACTTCGTTCATAAACAGTCTTCAATACGTCCATCTCGTTCGCAGTTCGTTCAGGTCGCACCACGTCGGTGTGCAACGTCGTATAACGCGTCCCTTAGTCTAGAAGGTCATCATGACCTGATTACAGAACGGTATGGTCGCCATCGAATTTTGAATCGATTCAAAATTCTAAAATCACCTTCCCGTCTGAGAACGTTCATGAAGTTCGTAAATAGACCTTAGAAAGTTGCAGTTACGTTCATTCCGTTTGCACACAGTTTAAAACCAGTTTTGAAGAACGCAGTGGCAACTTGTTTGGTGTGATAGCTATATTTTTGCTAACTCGTTCATAAGCAGTCTTAAATACGTTCTTAATCAGTTTAAATTCGTTTGTGATTAGTTCTACCTCGTTCTCAATACGTCCCCAGACAGTTCAACTCGTTGTTAAAACGTCTCTAGTAGGATTGAAGTACGACGGTTCCGTTCGTAGTACGTCCAGCTCGTCGTTAGTACGTTGTCACTCGTTCTAATTGTAAAACGTATCGACCACGAGAACATTTTGAGCATGTTCTAAGTTCTTAAGGACCTACCCGTTCGAGTACGTTCGATGAAGTTTGTAAATAGACCCCTAACGGTTCTAAGTACGTCCAGTCCGTTCGTACACAGTTGAAGCCCGTTTTCGAGAACGTAGTGAGAACTAGTTTGGTGTGATAGTAGGGTAAGGTACGGTTATCGATGCATAACTTCCCAATTGAACGAGGTCGATACTTCAAAGTAGAAAAATCGAAACGATTTTGTTTCTTCTGTAATTCGTAAAATACAATAGGTGATGAAGAACACGTTCTTTTTTGTTGTTCTCAATCAGAACTAAAACTAGCTCGATCTTTATATCTCAGTAAAATAATAAGTATAAACAATAGTTTTTCTCGTTTTAATACAAGTAGTCTATTTTTATACTCCGATCCTTAGCGCACGATGATGCAATTAATGAAACAATTGGTGATTGTTTTACAAGAGTTCATAATATTACCAAAGAGTTGTTAAACAAAACTGACGAGAAATCATTTTATGCTACTAACACCCCAGTCACATTTGTCGCACGGCGGCCGCAAGTCGACCGCAGATCAATTAAAATCGGTGAATTTCTGCGGCGAGCGTAGAAAAACTACGCTCGCCTTGCGGCCTCTGTACGGCGAATGCAGATTTTTACAGGCCGCAGGGAAGGCGTAGAAATTGTAACTCGGAGTTATAATATTTGTTCATTTCTGAGGTCCCCGTAGATATCAACTGGCTCAACAAGATTGAATCATTCTTTGTCAATGTTTCACGATCACTTTTCATTTGATATTACATCCTAGCACTATGAATAACATTTATAAATTGTCCCGATGTAAATAAAATGAAAAAAGTATCATTTATCAACAGAAATTTGAAATTCACCGTGCGGCTGCCGTGGGAAATGTGACTGCAAAAGTATGAGGGCGCAGAAATTCCACGGAGAGCGTAGAAATGTAACACCCCAGTCACATTTCCTACGGCGACCTTGCGGTCTATCATTTCTGCGGCCAGTAACACCCCAGTCACATTTCCTACGGCGACCTTGCTGTCTATCATTTCTGCGGCCAGTAACATTTCTACGCTCGCCGTGGAATTTCTGCGCTCTCATACTTTTGCAGTCACATTTCCCACGGCAGCCGCACGGTGAATTTCAAATTTCTGTTGATAAATAATACTTTTTTCATTTTAATTACATCGGGACAATTTATAAATGTTATTCATAGTGCTAGGATGTAATATCAAATGAAAAGTGATCGTGAAACATTGACAAATAATGATTCAATCTTGTTGAGCCAGTTGATTTCTACGGGGACCTCAGAAATGAACAAATATTATAACTCCGAGTTATAATTTCTACGCCTTCCCTGCGGCCTGTAAAAATCTGCATTCGCCGTATGAAGGCCGCAAGGCGAGCGTAGTTTTTTTACGCTCGCCGCAGAAATTCACCGATTTAATTGATCTGCGGTCGACTTGCGGCCGCCGTGCGACAAATGTGACTGGGGTGTTACATTTCTATGCTCGCCGTGGAATTTCTGCGCTCTCATACTTTTGCAGTCACATTTCCCACGGCAGCCGCAAGGTGAATTTTAAATTTCTGTTGATAAATAATACTTTTTTCATTTTATTTACATCGGGACAATTTATAAATGTGATTCATAGTACTTGGATGTAATATCAAATGAAAAGTGATCGTGAAACATTGACAAATAATGATTCAGTCTTGTTGAGCCAGTTGATTTTTACGGGGACCTCAGAAATGAACAAATATTATAACTCCGAGTTATACTTTCTACGGCGACCCTGCGGCCTGTAAAAAACTGGATACGCCGTACGGAGGCCGCAAGGCGAGCGTAGTTTTCCTACGCTCGCCGCAGAAATACACTGATTTAATTGATCTGCGGTCGACGCACGGCCTCCGTACGACAAATGTGACTGGGGTGTTAGACCCCAGTCACATTTCCTACGGCGACCTTGCGGTCTATCATTTCTGCGGCCAGTAACATTTCTACGCTCGCCGTGGAATTTCTGCGCTCTCATACTTTTGCAGTCACATTTCCCACGGCAGCCGCACGGTGAATTTTAAATTTCTGTTGATAAATAATACTTTTTTCATTTTATTTACATCAGGACAATTTATAAATGTTATTCATAGTGTTAGGATGTAATATCAAATGAAAAGTGATCGTGAAACATTGACAAATAATGATTCAATCTTGTAGAGTCAGTTGATTTCTACGGCGACTCTGCGGCCTGTAAAAAACTGGATACGCCGTACGGAGGCCGCAAGGCGAGCGTAGTTTTCCTACGCTCGCCGCAGAAATACACTGATTTAATTGATGTGCGGTCGACGCACGGCCTCCGTACGACAAATGTGACTGGGGTGTTAGTGATTGTTAAAATTAGATTGTAAGTATTGTTTTGCCTAGTTCAACGTCGTTAAACTCAATAACGGCGTTCTTTATTATTAGGAATTTTTGGGGCCGTTATTGAGTTTAACCTCCTTACTATTCTTTCCTTTGATGCAAGTTCTGAATCCATCGAAACCATTTTTCCGCGATAACGTGCAACTGATACTTGACAATAATATAAAAACACATAACATCAAGCGATTTAACACAATATTTTTGTGTTAAATGTTCATTTATACGAGTAAAATGAGGCTACACTTACCAATCTCTAAAGTGACATTCCGCATGTCCGTCATTGTGTCTGTTCGTCTGAGTGTCCCGGATCGTAAAATTAAACTACCAGCGAAACGAAATTGAAATTCAAATTGAAATGAAATTGATCAAATAGATTGATAATTATTATCGCGATTACTCGGGATAAAAAGATCAATTTTGAGGATAACAGGTATCTTTGATTAATTTATATAGCGCGTGTATACACGCAAAACAGTTATTAATTAATTGCAAACCCACTGTTCGTTAATGCAGTGCCGTGATGACGGTTAATTCCTGAAACGATTTGCAATTTCGATGTTACCGAAACTGACCGACATTTTCGTCATTTCCAAACCTGTCTCCAATATTTTCGTAATTATGCATCAATAGGGTCTAAGGGGGATACGGGACGGGGTGTATGTGGTTATAAGGTATGTATGCATGTTTGAATCACATTCTTTGTGTAATATTGCCATGTTTTCAGGGTTTAATTTGTTCCGCTTGTCGAAACCTGCTGAACGATTAAATTAACGCATCAAAGGCAAAATGGTCATGGAGGTTAGACCTAGCCGGGCCATAACACATGTCAGATAAGAAACGAGGCCCGGGCTAGGTCTAATGTTGTTGGACTATGTTTTGCCATGCATGTACATGAATGTTTTATTTGTCATTTGCTTTATTGGACTTATATCTCGATGTACATTACATATTCAAGAGAACAATAAACTTATTAATAAAAAAATAAAGACCATGTAATTCATCCCTCTTTCATACGTGGTTGAATTTAACATGCGAGGCAAAAGTCTAAATGAGGTTGTGGCTACAAGTGACCACCTACCTAATACCTTGCTGCGCCGTTGAACTCGCTATCAACAAGTCGTCACCAATATAGGTACCGTGTATAAAGGTAGACATGGGGGAGTGAAATCTACACGTACGTCGACATTACCATGTGGTAGTGTGGTCCGATAGCGATTAGTTCTCTCTTTACTTGAGCAATAAAGTATGAGGGTATAAGAAGAAAAGTTGCAATTAGTTCCCCTGAAAAGGAAAAATGGGAACGCTCGTGTACAAAATTCTTTTAAAACACGTAGTCTCTAACCTCCCTATAAGTTATGTTATTTCATTTCAGACACAGACTTCATACAACACGGTGGTTTCGGATCCCATCAGACTATTCTAACACTGTTTGATGACTGGAACATTGGCATATATTCATCGTCAAATGGACCTGGTGGTAGGTCCGGCGGCGGGCTCAACGGACACACTACGATGTCATTCATTCATTTTTATATCGCAGACATCCTTCGGGGCAATACTCCAATCTATGATATCGAATACGCTTGTCAATACACTCTTCCTGATAAATACGGTGCTTACTGCGGACCTTTCAACATATTTCCTGATTATAGCATCGATAAATCAAAAAATTCAACCTCTCCCATTGAAACCTACATTGGAACTTATGTTAAAGGAGATGAAGAGGTCGAAATTAAAATTGACCCAGTTACCGCTGACTTAATGATGACAAAAGGTTGTGAAAAGTACATCCTTTACCCAAGTGGAGTGGCCAATTCTTTTGTTGCCCAATCCACAGGGGAATGTTATGGATGTGCTAAAAGTGTTGTCTTCACAAGCGTATCCGAATCTGGGTCATCATCGTTTGAAGGTTTCTCAACACTGAGTATAGATGGCGTCAAATTCCGAAACTCAGAGATGAGTTCTGAGAGAGAATGTGATTAATCATATAGACACTTTGTGGACACAAAGATGGCAGCAGTGGTCAAAAGGGAAGATATAAAGAGACGGCGATCTTTTTGCGGTCAAACTAGTGCATATGCAATTAATCATATTGACACTTTGTCGACAGACAGATGGCATCAGTGGTCATAAGAGAAGATATAAAGAGACTGCTATCTTTCTGTCAAACTAGTGCATATGCAATTAATCATATTGACACTTTGTCGACAGACAGATGGCATCAGTGGTCATAAGAGAAGATATAAAGAGACTGCTATCTTTCTGTCAAACTAGTGCATATACAATTAATCATATTGACACTTTGTCGACAGACAGATGGCATCAGTGGTCATAAGAGAAGATATAAAGAGACTGCTATATTTCTGTCAAACTAGTGCATATACAATTAATCATATTGACACTTTGTCGACAGACAGATGGCATCAGTGGTCATAAGAGAAGATATAAAGAGACTGCTATATTTCTGTCAAACTAGTGCATATACAATTAATCATATTGACACTTTGTCGACAGACAGATGGCATCAGTGGTCATATGAGAAGATATAAAGAGACTGCTATCTTTCTGTCGACCTACTAAATATGCTGTTAATGAAAATCTTTTTTTTTTCTTTTCCATATAAATATAATTCGTGCTTCCTTACTCTCTATATTATTGCTTTATGTAATCTACAAAAATTATGATTATCTAAAATGACTAGCAATTGAATTGAAGCGAAATTGTAGGACAGTAACAGATGTATATAGATTTGTATATGAGAAAGTGACGTGCAGTCCAAGCATTTCTTAATTGTAGTTGTTTGCAATAGGGAGTTACATGATAATATATTTGGGAGTCTGGATTTTTCTTGTTTAGTTAAAATCGAGGGTTACATTGTCCACCATCTTGGATGCCACTAACTCCACTTGTAGACCAGTGCCAATGAAGGAAATGGCTCGCTGCAAAAAACAATTTCCTTAAATTTATTTGAAATAAATATCCATGGGGTTACCATTTGTTTGGGTCGTACAATTAACGATAATATTTTTTGATTATAAGAATAAATGAAATGATGTACATTCATAAGATAATGTAAACAGTTATTTTGAAAAGAATTGCAAATACATTTTGATTTGATTAACATTGGAAATTTTGTTTTAAAAATCAACATTTAGAAGCAGATAGAAGCCGATTATGCTTGCGTTCCATAGATAGCCGAAATTAAAAGGCATGAGTCTGTATCAGGAAACGACAATGTCCGTTACCTCCCCTTTCAAAATGGCGTACGGTAAATATTGAGTTCGGTCATTTCATCGATTTAATTCACTTTTTCATGGACATTCAGCTTTGACAAATCGACCGCTCGTATTCCATTGACTGCGCCTCCCCATTAACAAGAGATTTTTTAAATCTAAATAAAGGAAGGCGTATTTGTTTGAAAAAATAAATATTCTAATCGGAATTGAGACTATCCAGAATAATTATTAGAAGCCTTCATTAAAATTTCACGGAAAATCGATCATTCCGAGTGTAAAACATTCGCGCAATTTTCAATAACTAATTTAAGAAATATAGACCGAAGATAGGTTATCGACGATTCAACCTCAGGGCTGGGCACAAACGTTTAATGTATCGTGAACGACCGATGGACGTGAATGGTTCGAAACCTTTGTGCCTAGCCCTGAGGTATTTATTACTCGATCTGAGGTCTACAGTGCGTATCAAAAAAACGCAACAGATTGTTATCTTGGAAAAGCACAAAACCATTGATAACAGCATTGATTTCATTCAATGCACCATAAAGCCATGTGTCTCCTCTTTACAATGATATATCATTCATTGATATTTGGTCATGGTTGCATTGTGTGAGTAATCATTCCATTTGCAAAGTGGGCCAAAATTAGCTTTGGGCCAAGTTATAAACATTGCAAAAGTCATTGTACAGAGCCCGATGCAATATCGGACGAAAACATAAAATCAATGCTGACTGCATCCTTTTAATTCAATGTACCAAAAAGCCAAATTACTCCTCTTTGCAAATGAATATCATTCATTCACAGGGGGTCATCACTGGCCGAATAATCATTAATTTTGCAAAGTGGGGCAAAATTCAGCTCGGACCCAAGTTTAAAACATTGCAAAAGTCAGTACAAGGGGCATATGGGTTATTGGAAGAAGGTGTGACAGGTATGGCATATACAGTAAAGTGTTCATACTCATACTCTTGCAAAAATACATCCTATACCCCTCCAAATTGCAACCACTTCCTTGCACATAAAGATGCGCTCATCTGTCCACATCATGCATGGTTCAGCCCTGAATCATGTGTGGGTTAAAGCAAAGAAAAGCAGCCCATGGGCAAATCTTTCTCGAGGTTTTGCAATATCTGGTGGAGGAATTGTGAGCACAGATGCTCCTGAGATAGCTCCAAAAGAAAAAGTCACAACAATTCAAGCCAGGGGAACTTCCATTGGCACTTAGCCCTTGCACTGATTTTTTCAATATCAAAAACTTGGCGCAGAGCCGATTTCGACCCACTATGCAAATGGAAGGATTTCTCACCCAACTATAACCACATGTGAATGAATGACATATATCATTGCAAAGAGGAGAGACATGGCTTTATGGTACATTAAATGAAAATGATGTAGTCATCACTAGTTTTGTGATTTTACGAGATAACTACTTGTTGCGTTTTTTTTGATACGCCTTGTATATTACGATTCGAACATGAAAACTCACCAAAGTTTTTCGAATTAGTATTAGATCATTGGCTTCCGACGATTTTGTGCAGACATTGTCGTTGAATGTGCTGCTTTATTTTGTCTGTGAATAAGCAACTTTTTGATTGAATAATGAATTCCTTGTATGGATATCTTGAAATGAAGAACAATCTGCTCCTCTCCATTGACCAAATTAGGCGATGGCATCCCGTTGTTATTCAAATATTCCAGTTTTACCAGTGGTAAAGATACAACGGCTCCGGAAATGTTTGAATCTTTGTTGTTTTTAGATTTACACTTCCCTAGCTCAAGAGGGGGAGAAACCCCAGGGTTAAAAGATGACATACGCTTATAATGTAAATCTGTATTGAGATGACATCGTCGCTGATCGGTTTAGCGAGTCGATCGTTGATTGGTTTAAAACTAGGTCAATTTGAAAACTTTGGAGGGAAGTATAAATATATGTACTTCCGGGAAAGGAGGTGCGCGAAGGAGGAAATCGTATGTCATCAATTGAATCATGGGGTTTTTCCTCCTCTTCCTAGCTCCAAATGTTTGGCAACACTAACTTCCGGTCGCCATTGGATTACGTGTTCCATTGAATTCTTATGAACCACTTTTAGAAAAATCTCTTTTAAATATTTGACATCTTACATTTCCAATACCTCTATCGCAACTTTTTCAAAAACTACAACACGTACATCATGAGGCCTTCTATCATAGCTTCACACTCGTATCTAACACCCCAGTCACATTTCGCACGGCCGCCGTGCGGTCTATCATTTCTGCGACCAGTACACTGCGCCAAATGTGAAATTCCAAGCAATTTCTAGACGTGCAAAGATAGTCTAGGAACTCCGCGTATCTAGAGATTTCAAGACGTGTCAAGAGGTGCAAAGACCTCGCGTGTAAAGAGCGTGTCAAGAGTTTTGATATCTCTTTGCACAGCCTTATCTAAACAAACAGTATAATTAGACCGGCCACATGTTGTTATGCCCTATAGTCGCGCTTAATTATACTTTACTGGGATTGGAATATAACAATCATTTTAATTTCGTGTTAATAATAATTTGTGTTTTTTAAATCATTATCAAAATAAAATTAATTTAAAAGTATGTGTGTGCGTGTAAGTATAGGCAATAGCTTAGTCGAAATGAGTAGACGTGTGCAGATGGAGATCGCCTATCTATTTTGCTAAATCTGACATTTTTTACAGGATCATGATATAGATCAAATGAAAACACGAAATGTGTTTTTCTAAGGTTTATCTACCCTGATTTCGAGTGATTTTAACTTGGACGCATATTCCTCTTTTAAAACAGTTTGAATAATTAACAAAGTCAACTTTGAACCGTGTCAATCAAATTGTCAAATATGTAGATAGCACATGCAGGCCCGATTACAGGGGGGATAGATTGGTTCTAGCGCCCCCCCCCCTCCGTGACCAAAATTGCATTTTTTACCCCATACCCCCGGGCCCCATACTGAGCACCTTTTAAATTATTTTGCCCATTTTTGAACTAACATTGCCAAAAGTGAACTCCCCCTGGAATTTCTTAAAAAAGTAACCCACCCCTTGGCAAATCCTGGCTACGGGTCTGAAACGTCATTCTGATCTTTCTGTTTCACCTGAAACATGCTCTGATATAATGAGGCATATTCTTTGATCTGAGCATATCAGATAGGAAGAGTTATGAATGTCAATAAGTGTGATTGATATCATGTAAACATCTACCTTAATGTCAATACATTACATAATGTAGTAAGGCATTGTACATGTATTTAACAACAGGCACATCCTTCTTCAAAGGACTTCATTTATACTTGTAAAATACCCTTCCAGCGAGGATGCAACAGGCACAGTTACACAAGTTTTATGACCCCAATTAGATGAAATATGAGCTGGGATGAAAGATTTAAAAAATCAAGGGCTGAGAAGATTTGAGATG